TCACCCTTAACTCATCCCTGATCCAACTTCAGGGTTAAACTTGCAGTGCCGGTGCTGCAGCTTTGTTTTCAAGGAATGCATTGCTATGCCTAAGCTCCTCCCCCCCTCCATGCACCTAGCATCAACCAATGGCCTCCAATATTTCCTGAGACTCCAGCGTCCTCCTTGTTCCCTGAGACTCCTGTGCCTACGTTAGCTCTGCACTCCTATGCCTCCAGTGACCCCTGCATTCCTGTGCCTCTGTGACCCCGGCACCTCCAGTTACCCCTGCATTCCTGTGCCTTTGTGACTCTTGCAAACCTGTGCCTCTGTGGTCTCTGCAAACATGTACCTCCAGTGACCCCTGTATTATCTGTGACCCTTGCTCCTCTAGTGACCCCACTCCACTCTTGTGTCTCTGTGACCCCTGCACTACTGTGCCTCAAGTGACCCTGGCATTCCTGTGTCTCCAGTGACCCCATGTACTACTGTGCCTCAAGTGACCCTGGCATTCCTGTGTCTCCAGTGACCCCATGTACTACTGTGCCTCAAGTGACCCTGGCATTCCTGTGTCTCCAGTGACCCCATGTACTACTGTGCCTCCAGTGACCCCTGCATTCCTGTGCCTCTGTGACCTCTGTATTCTTATGCCTCTGTGACCCCTGCATTTCCGTGTCTCTGTAACCTCTGCATTCCCGTGCCTCTGTGACCCCTGCACTACTGTGCCGCCAGTGACCCTTGTATTCCTTTGTCTCCAGTGACTCCTGCACTACCATGCCTCCAAAGACCCATATACTCCGGTGCCTCCAAAGATTCTGTGATCTTTGTGCACTCCAGTGACCTCTGAGTTTCAAGTGACCCCTGTGTCTCCAGCAACCTCTGTGTCTTCAGTGACTTCTATTTCTCCAATGACCTCTGAGTCTCCAGTGTCCAATATGTCTCCAGTGACTCCTGTTTCACCCTGTGGCCTCAGAGCATTCTGAGTATTCTGTGTCTCCCCTTGGCCCTTGTGACTCCACACAGCCTTAGGTACGATCCTGTATCTCCTTGACTGTCCTCCTCCCTGTGGATATGCTTCCCTTAAGGTTAGCACAACAGGAAGTTTGAGGAAGTCTCTCTGAGACCGTTGTCATCGGAAAAGGTGTCGTCCTGAGTATCCTGTGACAACTGTTACTCCACATAGCCTTAGGTATACTCCTGTATATCGTGGACTGTCCTCCTCCCTGTGGATATGGACTCCTGTTGAGGAAATCTCTTCCAAGTGAAAACATTATTCTCTGAGACCGTTGTCATCGGAAAAGATGTGGAAGATTTCTCCTTTGTTACTATTCGGGTGACAACTCAACATTTTGGATTTCACCTCACTTTCAGTCCCAGAGACAATGTTCACCAGGACACATAGAGCAGGTCAATCATCCCATTGGGGCCCTGGCAGCAATAGAAAATCTGAGAATGGTTCTACTCCAGTGGCATAACTGTCCCCATATCGGCACGGGGCCTAAAGTGGGCTCTGTGGGGTCTCAGGCGGGCTCTGTGCAGGGTCACTCTCAGGTGGGCTGTGTGGGGTCTCAGGTGGGCTCTGCGGGGTCTATGGTGAGCTCTGCAGGGTCACTCTCAGGTGGGCTGTGCGGGGTCTCAGATGGGCTCTGCGAGGTCTGAGGTGGGCTCTGCGAGGTCTCGGGTGGGCTGTGTGGGGTTTATGGTGGGCTCCTCTAGGGTCTCTGGGGGGCTGTGCCTGGTCTATAGTGGGTTCTGCAGCAGTGAGTGGCGGAGTGATCTGTTCTTCGGCTCTGACGTCAAAGCCAGCAGGAGCAGAGCTGAAGAGAAGGTGAGGAAGACGGCGCAGGAACGGAAACGTGTTCTGGAGCTAGGTACTTTTTTTGGTTTAGGGGGGCGAAGGCATACACTATTCAAAACAAAACATAAACTTATGCCTTCAGATACACTTTAGTATTATGTGTTCTAAAATTTACAATATAAAATATGTTTAAGAAAGCTCAGATATATAAACTCCATGCAAATAGTTCCCAGCAGTGTGAACTGAAGGTAGATCTCCGGTCCTGTAAGCCAACGTGCCACCTTGTCTTCAGGTTGCTTGCCTTTATACGTAATACATAAGGCTAAGTACACTTGCAGTAGCGGAAGTCTATATTATGGGCTCATGGGATCATTGACCGGCAGGTAACATACCTTCCATGTTTATTGTGTGGGTAGCCGCACATACCCTTCCGGAGGGACATGACACATTGTTCCCTGTGCAGAAAGTTGCACCTTGCACCAGACAGCTGGTGCAGGAGAGGGAGTGACCTGCAGGGAAAAAAACACAAAATGTAAAATAGAATATCTCTTTATTGATTTAGAATGCATGAGCAGATCCTGTAAGGATCCTGCTAACCTACCTGCAATCTTGACTGTTCTTATCCAAACTTTCAATCCAGTAGTAGCCCTCGGTCATTTTATAGAACAAAGGCTTCTTCCTAATGAGATAATAGGAGGTTATTGATCTAAAATGAAACAAATTTACACTGATGAGATGTTTTTGTGTAATTTTAGATCAATAGGCTCCTCTTATTTCCTGAACAAGTAAACATTTGGTCTAAGAAATAAGTAGAGTGATACAGTATGGTAAAAACTTATTGTTTCCTAGATTGCCTGTTAAAACCCCTAAGTGAGTATTCAATCTTTCTCTGAACAATAGGTACAGTATATTATTATCAGTGCTAAGCGAAGGTCCTTTAGGCAAAAAGGTCATAGTGCATCCATGCTATTTTTTTCATGCTCCCAGCATATACAATATATTTCCCAATAGACTTCCTTACCTGGAAACCAATGCCCATTATATAGTATAATTTATGATATAGAGCATAATATAAAGATTGCCCATTCCTGTGTGTGTATTGGGATCGGCGGTCAGGTTAATTGTCAGCTGGCAGAGACAAGGCTTCCTGAGCAGAGACAGCAGCAGGCAGAGATAAGAGACAGACATGTCTCTTGGGTCTTCTTTTAGCCCAACTGGAAGTCATCGGCAGTCATTGAAGGGAGACCATTGCACTTAGTCTGGCCGACCGACCGTTCTTCTGGTCATGAGCTGTGACCTACCTTAACAGTATAGGCTGCATATCCTTTCCTTTCTTACCCCACTGTAGGACCTATTGGGGGGGGGGGGGCCCTCATCTGCCACACCCCCG